CCGGGTACGAGCCCGAGTCCTTGCAGGTCTGGTCCCCAGCGCGGGGAGGCGGGGGGGGAGACGGGGAGAGAACTGGGAGCGGTGACGGGTGGCTTTGGGAAACCTTCTTCTGAAGAGGAGGTTTATTTGTAGAGCTAATATTCAACTGATGGGAAAGGTAGGGTTCGGCTGCGGGTTAAGGCATAGAAAGAAGATGCATTTTAAATTGTAATTTTAAACTAGAAGGAGAGGTGGCGGGGGTGGGGGGAGTTGTGGGAGTGTCGTCACTAATCTGTTTAATGAATAGGGAACGCTTAAAAACATTCTTTAGAGGTGTGCGAGTCGAAAACAGAAGAAAAAGAATAGGGAAATCTAGTTGTGGTTGGCATAAAATCCGCCGTGGTGGTGCGGTGAATTTTGCGTTTCACTCTCTTGCTGTGGGGTTTTGAAGGGTGGCAGCCGGCGCAGAAATGCTCACCAGCGCTATTTCGCTTGTTTTTCACCATCTCCGGTTGCCCACAGGGCAGCTTGTCTATTGCCTATATATTTAAAAAAAAAAAAAAAGCCGGTGTGCATTGTTGAATGACAGAAAGGAAATGGGGCGTAAAATTAAAGAATCTTTCAACACTGGTGATAGGGAAGGGAGCATCCCACAGGCGTGATGTGAAATCTAACGAGCTCTGCTGGCGGCGCAGTGCTGTAGAAACACTTCTTTAAACTCGAATTACCGCTTTGCAGACGCTGGTGCGGTTTGTTTGTTGGTTTGCTTTGAGGTTTTTTTGTGTACCTGACCGATTTGTCCCCCAGAATATTAACGCTGAATGAGAGGGCAAGTAGGCGAGCCGGGGCACCTCGAAATTCTGCATCGCTGTCGTATCCAGATTTTCTAGCGCACTCGTTTTTTGCACGAGGGAAGAAATTCGTAGAATCTCTGCAGTCCCAACGTGTTGGGGTTTGTTTTTTTTTTTTTTTTTTTGGTAAAATATGTGACGTTGTTTTTTTAGGATTACGCCAGTCAAAGGGATATGAGCAAGCAGGTTGTGAACAGTCCTGAAACCGTTGCTCCTGGACCCAGTGAAGGCGCGGGAGCTGTGAGAATCAGCCCCGAAAATGAGCCGCAGAATGCCCCGTTGCAAGCCCCTGCCGCGATGGCCAGGCTTCCCCAGCCTCTCTCCAACGACAATAAACCCCTTCCCTCCGAAGAAGCTAAACCAAACGGCTTGGAGAGGACCAAAGTGGGGATCTGCAAGCTGAGCAGCACCCCGGTGCAAGCCAACTCCACCCTCCGGAGGGAATCCCTGGAAAGCTTTCCGTGCAAGCCCCCTCCCGGGGCGGGGGCCGCCGGGCAAGCTGCCATCCCCCACTGCAAAATTCCCGCTTTGCAAAGCACGGACGGGGAGGCGAATCTAAACCTCGGGAAGAGCACTCTAGAGAGAAACAACGCCAAGGGCGCCTGGGTGACCTTGAGCCAGAGCACCGTGGTGCTGGGCACGGATGGCAACACCGCTGTTCTTCCCGGCAGAGCTGAGGGGGTAAGTTGGCTCCTTCCAGGGTTTTCCCTCCCCGCCCTCTCCTCGCTTCAGGTCGTGGGAGCGAGAGGTCTTTGCCGCTCAGCCCCGATTTGGGGCTGAAGCTCTAAAATCGGGTCCGGAGC